AAGACATAAAATTCAGTCAAGCATAAGCTCTGAAGATCTGCTCTCCAACACTGCCCCAATGGCAGATAACAGACTTGATACTTGACATTTTAAGCGAGTGGGCCTGGGGTAAAGTGCTCTTTCTTCCCACTGAATAGCTGGAGTTGCCCTCAAAGCTGTTTCAGAGCTGCTCCTACAAGGGGATGCCCCCAACACGGCAGAGATAGGCCTGGTTGAGATACCAAAGAAGCAACACAAAATGCAAGGGTAAACAACAATGCACAGGGTGATTATGTGATATGGGTGAGAAAGAATGCTTAGGCATGCACGTAAAAAATGAATCAAGATATAGAGTTAAGGGGTTTTGGCGTCAGTTTCTTTCACTGTTTTTATTTTTTGTTGTTTTTTGCTGGTTGTGGGGCCTGAACTCTGGGCCTGGGCGCTGTCCCTTCAGCTCTTCAGCTCAAGGCTAGTGCTCTACCACTTGAGCCACAGCACCACTTCTGGCATTTTCTGCTTATGTGCTGCTGAGGAATGGAACCCAGTGCCTCATGCGTGCAAGGCAAGCACTCTACCACTGAGCCACCTTCCCAGCCCCTCTTTCATTCTTTTGAACAACAAAGTAAGCATCTTTCCAGTGTCTGGGATTGTTCTAGGCCCTGGCTTGGGCTCAAGCCTGCTGGGAAAAACTTGCATCTAAGCATCTAACTGGGTCAAAAACTAGTCAAGGCAAGCTGTGCTTTTGGTTGGAACACTGAACATAAGAACTGGGGAACTGGGGCTGGGAAGGTGGCTCAGTGGTAGAGCGTTTGCCTTGCATGCTCAAGGCCTTGGGTTCGATTCCTCAGTACCACATAAGCAAAAAGAAAAAAGCTGGAAGTGGGCACTGTGGCTCAAGTGGTAGAGCGCTAGCCTTGAGCTGAAGAGCTGAGGGACAGCACCCAGGCCCAGAGTTCAGGCCCCACGACCGGACCCAAAAAAAAAAAAAAAAAAGAACTGGGGAACTTACAAGTGTCCTTATATCAATATTTTTTTTAATCTTACCTAAAAATAAATGACTATCTCACTAGCTTTGAATTGTTGGCGTTGCATTTACTCTTAGTGTCATTATCAGACAGCATATCTTCATAGATGTAAATACTTACCTTTCAAAAAGTTGGGGAGAGGGAGGGAAGGGATAGTGGGGGAACAACAAAGGAAGGGATAACAATACTCGGCAAGAAATGCACTCACTGCCTTACTCATGTAAATGTAACCCCTCTGTACAGCATTTTTACAGTAAAATAATTTTTTTAAGTTGGGGAAAAATTAGTATTCTCTTTAATTACAGTATATTCTCACACTGGATATTGTTTTTATGTATGGTATGAAGAAAAAGATAAATAGCAGAAAAATTATGCAGGAGTAAGGCTCTGAAAACTGGAGGTATGGCTCAGGGGAAAAGTACCTGCCCAGCAAGCACAAGGCCGAGTTCACACCCCAAAACTGCTAAAGCAGAGGAGCTCTTCACTAAAATTCAAGTATTTTAACCCCTTACTGGATTTTTTGGTAAGTTTCCTGATTTTTTTCAGGAACAGCTCTGAATGCTTTGCCTATCTCTAACTGCTAAATATGTTCCATAAATACAGTTGTATTGTCTGTTAGTTAACACTAGATGCTTCAAAAAATAAAAAATAAACCAGTTACTGCTGCCACACCCCTGTAATTCTAGCTCCTCTGGCTGAGTTCTGAAGATCATGAACCATAATCTTCTAACCCTTGTAGGAAACATCTGCAAGACTATTCTCTCCAATTAACCACCGAAAAGCTGAAAGTGGAGCTGTGGCTCAAGCGGCAGAGTGTTAGCCTTGAGCAAAAAAGCTCAGGGACAGTGCCCAGACTCTGAGTTCAAACCCCAGGACTGTCACACACAAAAAGATACCATAATCATACAAAATGGGACAAAGTAATCACATAAAAACTAGTTCTTGGGGGTAGGGAGTAGGGGGAGGGGGGGAGATGGGAAGGGGAAACAAAGGAGGCTACAATGCTTGATAAGAAATATACTCATCATCTTGCCCATGTAATTGTACCCCTCTATATGGTGTTTTCACTATAAAAAAGAAAAATTAATTTTTCCTCGGGGTGCTGGTGGCTCACGCCTGTAATCCTAGCTACTCAGGAGATTGAGATCTGAGGATCAAGGTTCAAAGCCAGGCTGGGCAGTAAAGTCCATGAAACTCTTATCTCTAAAAAACCACTAGAAAACCGGAAGTGGGCTGTGGCTCAAGTGATAGAGCACTCATCTCAAGCTGAAGAGCACAGGAACAACACCCAAGCCTTAAGTTCAAGCCCCACAACTGACCAAAAAAAAAAAATTACTGGGTTGGGAAGGTGGCTCAGTGGTAGTGGGCTTGCCTTGCATGCATGAGGCCCTGGGTTCGATTCCTCAGCACCATATAGCAGGAAAAAAAAAGCTGGAAGTGGTGCTATGGCTCAAGTGGTAGAACCCTAGCCTTGAGCTGAAGAGCTGAGGGACAGTGCCCAGGCCCAGAGTTCAGGCTCCACGACCAGACCCCCCCCCCAAAAAAATTACTATCACTAAATATGAAAGTATCATTAAGAATTTAACAGAGAACTTGGAGAAATATAAATTTAACATCTCCAGTAAGAAAAAAAGGCATACATAAAGCTATATTTACGGTAACATACATGGTTAAGTTAGCTGCTTTCCCAGACATGACAAACAGGGGAAAAAAGTTGACTCTGTAGTCTTTATGGAAAAAAAGTCTGATGGTGAGTTTTAGAACTATATAGGACAGTTAAAACATATGGAAGCCAGGCGCTGGTAGCTTATTCCTATAATCATAGCTACTCACGAGGCTGAGAGCTGACAATCAAGGTTCAAAGCTAGCCCAGGTAGGATGCCTATAATCCTAGCTACATAGGAGGCTGAGATCTAATGATTGACGTTCAAAGCCAGCCCAGGCATGGAAGTCCCCATGAGATTCTTATCTCCAATGAACAGAAAACCAAAGTGGCACAGTGACTTAAGTGGTAGAGCCCTCACCTTGAGCTGAAGAGGCTCAGGGTCAGCGCCCAGACCCAGAGTTCAAGCCTGTGGGGAGTAAAGCATCTGTCAAGTGAAAAGCCTCTTCCAGGAGCTCAGTGCAGGCTAAAGAAAAGAAGAAAAAGAAATCTGCACTGGATTAAATCATGGAGATTGAAGAGGAAAAGAACAGAACATCCTAAACTGACCTCTGGTTGAAACCTGAAATCATTGTAAGGATTATAACCAAAACTTGGAGATAAATTTAAAGGATATTGTTCAGGAAGTAATTGACAAGTATACAGCTGTTGGAAAGATGACTGATTCTGGAGAAAAGCTGAAACTTGACCAGACTCATTTAGAGACAGTAATTCTGGCACCAGGAAAAAGAATCCTAGTTGTAAATGAAGGCTACAGAAGCAATGAAGCTACCTTGGAATCCATCAAGGAGACCTTCTCAGCTACTGTCACCATCAAAACCGGGACTTTAAAACGATGGAGAGTTGAAAGAATTCATTATGAAGACATATCTAAACTTACCTGATTGAAAATTTGTTAGCAATACATTAAAATAACTCTACAGTATCAAACTGATGTTTGACAAAGCATTGTGAGACTCTACTGTGTTAGGGTATTTCTTTTGTATAAAACAAATAGTTTTATTTAAATTTGTGTATTTGTGTAAACTTACAGAAAGATTTAATTATGTCTACTGAAGTGCCAAAACTAATTTTTGTCCTTGTTGCTTTTATTTGTAATTTTCTTTGATTTTTTTAACTTCATTAAAGAGTGTTGTAGGGCTGGACGCCAGTGGCTCACACCTATAATCCTAGCTACTCAAGAGGCTGAGATCTGAGGATCACAATTCAAAGCCAGCCTGGGCAGGAATGTCCGTGAGACCCTTATCTCCAAATAACCACCAGAAAACTGTAAGTGGTACTGTTGCTCAAGTGGTAAAGTGCCAGCCTTGAGCTAAAGAGCTAAGGGACAGTGCCCAAGCCCAGAGTTCAAGACCTATGACTGAGAAAAAAAAAATGTTGTAGAGCTGGGAAGGTGGCTCAGTGGTAGAGTGCTTTGCCTTGCATGCATGAGGCCCTGGGTTAGATTCCTCAGCATCACATAAGCACAAAAAGCCAGAAGTGGTGCTGAGGCTCAAGTGGTAGAGTACTAGCCTTGAGCTGAAGAGCTGAGGGACAGTGCCCAGGCCCAGAATTCAAGCCCCACGACTGGCAAAAAACAAAACAAAACAAAACAAAACTTTAAATTTTTGCCAGTCTTGGGCCTAAACTCGGGGCCTGAGCTTTGTCCCTGCACCTCTCTGTTCAAAGCCAGAGCTCTACCACTTGAGCCACAATACCACTTGCTTTTTTTCTGCGTATGTCATAATGAGGAACTGAACTCAGGGCTTCATACATGCTAACCAAGCACTGTACCATGGAGCCACATTCCCAGCCCTGTTTATTTTATAATTTGGTTTGCCAGGGTCAGGCTCAAGAAGTTTTTTGTTTGTTTTGGAATTTTATGGTGTCAGTCCTGAGCTTGAACTCAGTCAGGGCGTAGGTACTGTCCCTTCAACTTTTTTGTTCAAGGCTTACACTCTACCATTTGAGACACAGCTCCACTTCTGACTTTTTTCAGTAGATTAGAGATAAAAGTCCCATTGACTTTCCTGCCTAGACTGTCTTCAAACTGTTAATCCTCAGAGTTCAGACTCCTGAGTAGCTAGGAATATAGGGGTAAGCCACTGGCACATGGCAAGAAAGTTTTTTAATCACTACTAAGTATACATGAATGTTCAAAATTCTGTAAATAGTATTAACACAGGAACTGTTTCATTTAGGCCTCATCTAGTGTAACTAATCAAGTTCCTAGTATACTATTAGTGACTAGTTGTCAGTGTGAATACAAACACAAGGCCACAAACTGATGTCTGCTTGTTGCAATTTTCTTTTCTTTCTGATCAACCCCAAACACCAAGTAAGGGAGGATAGAATGAATAAGAAAAAACAATACTTTATTTCCCTGTTCACACTAAGCCATATATTCAAAATGTGCTTCAAAATATTTAACCAGATCACTAATCCCAGTCACTTCAATTCAAATGTTCATTAAAAATACAGTCAAGCAACAAAAATGCATTATGAGACACCTTCTAGAAAGAACAGCTCCATTACTATATAGTTTATTAACTCTGTAGTTTAGTCTCTCGATATTTAGCAAGTTCGTTTAAAAGTTACTATTGTCATTGGTTTGTAGAGAAATTAATAAAAACACATAATCTCAATGTCAACATTGCTTTTCACTGTGAACACAGAACTTACAAGATACTGGGAGCTGTGGTACAGTAGTAATGGTGGCTGCTGAGATGGTTACTGCTCCACGCCAAAATAACAGGCAGGCTTGAAATGGCATAAACTACACATACACACTCTCAGAATGTAACCACGTCCCACATTTTTCTTTACATACTTGTCTCATAATACAGAATAAATTATCTCCTCAAACTTGAAAAACGAGATGAATGCATTTTCATCTTCTTTTTAAAGTAATTTTAAATGAAAAACAAGTTCCCCGTGTTTGTTAAGTCTGGTCAAGAGATAGCGTTAAATATTTTCTGCACTACATGTATAATTTTTTTACCCTATATTCATGCCTCATTATAACCATAAGACCTCCAGTGCTTTATGGAAAATATCACCCAACATAGTATAAATATGCACTTCAATTCTTCTGGTGATACTGAATTATGACAAAGTACACAAACGTGTAACTGCTTTTCAACAACACTGGGACTGTGAATTACTACAAATGATCTCACATGTGCATGTATTTCAAACAAACTTTTGGGGAGAGGGCAAAAAATAAATACTACAGTGTGTTTCCCCTCTATTTAATGCTGCTCATTGTTAGATAAAAAGATTAATATTACTAACAAGAAGATTCAAACTATCTTGAGGATTATTTCTACATAGTTAGAACAATTTCCCCAAACAAAGCAAGAGCCCACACCAATATAGTTTCCTGTAGTGTAATATAATTGCTAGTATATTGTTTAATTTGTAAGCAATTAATACAAATATAAATAGATATAAGCCACCAATGAGCCATAGTCTGGTGAATAAACTTCTTGGCTAAATAGTGTATGGAGAAAACTAAAGGAAATGACAAGGGCAGGCTCCAGGGGAACCTCACAAGCCTGCCTTATCACGATCACGTACTTAATCAACTGCTGCAAAAAGATCAATCCTTTCTAAGTACACTGGCCTGGAATATACTTTATGTAGTACAGCAGGATTATTTCAATATTACTTTGAACTTATATTCACATAACCATATAGGCATATCAAAAACTACAAACAAAATATTAAACCTTTCATCTCATTTTGGAAAAGCTAACAATTAAGATGTAACTATATACTACAGAATTTTCTAAGACTTCAAAACTCAGGGATAAAACCAAAGAAAAATATTGCTATCTCTTTAGTAAATGGCTGTGTGAAACCTCAAGCTCACTCATCTCTTTTATAGATAGGTTTATTTAATGAGGATTGTGATCCAATGATTGTTTAGCAGCAATTTTACCAAACTGTAAATTCATTTATTAACAGGCATTATAAACAGATAATACTAATCTTATTTAAAAACCATGAGTGCCACACCAGTGAATATACAGCTCATGAATAACTTAAAAAGTATTTCCCATTTTAAAAGGCGACATATAGCATACAAAATTCTATACTAGACAAAGAAGCTATAATATGGATACATGATTGATGTGTCTAAAATGATATATATATATACAGTACATAATTAATGTTAATTATGTGATCAGTACTTTTTTCTATGATTCCCTTCATGCTTCACTTTCCCCAGAAACTGAATTCTGAACTTCCTCTTCTAAAATTGGTACAATCAGGTTATCCTTGGACATCAAATTATACTTCATCACAAATTTAGTAAATCGATGACATAGAAATGTTTCATTCTGTAAAAAGGAAAAAAAATCATTCTATTATCCAAAATGAAAAGCTAAAAATAATATTAAAGTATATTACTGTTATTCTGACAAGAATGCATTAGGAGATGGTAAACAGAGAATATAAAAAGTATAATTACGATTAATGTGCTTTGTATAAATGTATAAAAATAAGACATTGAGAGCTGGGAAGGTGGTAGAGTGCTTGCCTTGCATATATGAGGCCCTAGGTTCGATTCCTCAGCACCACAAAAAAAGAAAAAAGCTGGAAGTGGTGTTGTGGCTCAAGTGGTAGAGCACTAGCCTTGAGCTGAAGAGCTGAGGGACAGCGCCCAAGCCCAGAGTTCAGGCCCCACGACCGGACCCAAAAACAAACAAACAACAAAAACTAGTATGTGCTAATAAAAAATTAATTTAGGGGCTGGGAAGGTGGCTCAGTGGTAGAGTGTTTGCCTTGCATGCATGAGGCCCTGAGTTCGATTCCTCAGCACCACATAAGCAGAAAAAGCCAGAAGTGGAGCTATGATTCTAGTGGTAGAGCGCTAGCCTTGAGCTGAAGAGCCAAGGGACAGTGCCCAGGCCAGAGTTCAGGCCCCACAACCGACCAATAAATAAATAAATAATTTAAAAATGCATTATGAGAATTAGTGAAATATACTTACTTCATATTCATCGAATATCTGCCGGTGATGAAAGTAAGCATGTGAAAATATTCTGTAAATCCTACGACATACTGATCCTAGTTTTGCTACAGATGATTCTTTTATGCTAACCCTAGAAGTAGAAATAATAGATTTGTCAGAGCTAGATAAAATGTTAATCATAGTATAATTCAATCCTCTCAATTCACAAAGGTGTAAACTGACAAACATGCAATCTGAAGACCACAGTTCCAGGAACAGGCCTAGAGCCCTCAGACAACTCAAAGCACATTAAAACATAACTTACAACATTAATACTTTGTTCACTACTTAACACTACTAAAAGAAACCACTGTTTTATCCTATAAAATTCAATTTTAGGGCTTGGAATGTTGGCTTAGTGGTAGAGTGCTTGCCTAGCATGAATGAAGCCCTGGGTTTGATTCATCAGTACCACATATACAGAAAGGGCCGGAAGTGGTGCTCAAATGGTAGAGTGATAGGCTTGAGCAAAAAGAAGTCAGGAACAGCGCCCAGGCCCTGAGTTTAAGCCCCAGGACTGGCCAAAAAAATCAATTTTATTTCTCTGCTTTTTGAGAAATCAAAATATGCAGCACAAGTGATGGTTCACACTTTATAATCCAAGCTACTAATGAGGCTGAGAGATGAGGATCCAACCTTACAGCCAGCCTGAGAGACAAATGGATGAGATTCTCATCTCTAATACACTACCAGAAAGCTGGTGTGGCTCAAGCAGTAGAGCCTCAACTGTGATAGGAAAAAGCCTAGCAATAGCATGAGATTTGTAGTAACAAAAAGCATTATTTCTCTCTTTTATTTTGCCAGTCCTGGGGCTTGAACTTAGGGCCTGGGCGCTGTCCCTGTGCTCTATAGCTCAAGGCAAGCGCTCTACTGGCTAAGCCACAGTGTCACTTCCAGTTTTCTGGTGGTTTATTGGAAATAGGGGTCTCATGAACTTCACTGCCCGGGCTGGCTTTGAACCACAATCCTCAGATCTCAGCTACTGAATAGTTAGGATTACAGGCGTGAGCCACCAGTGCCTGGTCTTTTTTTTTTTTTTTTTTTGGGGGGGGGGCCCGGTCGTGGGCCTGGACGCTATCCCTCAGCTCTTCAGCTCAAGGCTAGCACTCTACCACTTGAGCCACAGCACCACTTCTGGCTTTTTTTTTTCTTATGTGGTGCTGAGGAATCGAACCCAGGGCCTCATGCATGCAAGGCAAGCGCTCTACCACTGAGCCATCTTCCCAGCCCCTATGCCTGGCCTTTCTGGTATTTTAGTTTCCTTTATGGTGATACTAGGGTTTTTTGTTGTTGTTGTTGTTTTTTGTCAGTCATGGGGCTTGAACTCTGGGCCTGGGTGCTGTCCCTCAGCTCTTCAACTAAGGCAAACACTCTACCACTTGAGCCACAACCCCACTTCCCGTTTTCTAGTGGTTTATTGGAGATAAGTCTCACCAACATGGGCTAGGAAGGTGGCTCAGTGGTAGAGCGCTTGCCTTGCATGCATGAGGCCCTGGGTTTGATTCCTCAGCACCACATAAGCAAAAAGAAAAAAGCCGGAAGTGG